ATAGCTGGAGTTGACCTTTCCACACCCTCACCCCACACCAGGGATCCCAAACACTCCTTCACCTCTCAGGGCTCACCAGTGTGTTGATGTTTTTAATCTCATGGGAGCCCTGGAGCAGCATTAAGACACTGGCACAGGTTGCCCAGAGAAGCTGGGGCTGCCCCATCCCTGGAAGCGTTCTAGGCAGATTGGACAGGTCTTAGAGCAAACTGAAGGTGTCCCTGTCTGTGGCAGAGGAGAGGAACTAGATCATCTTTTAAGGTTCCTTCCACCCCAAACCTCTCTGTGATTCTGTGATCTGTCCAAGCAGCCCCAGCAAGCTGAAAAGGGACCACATTTAACATGACAGTGAGAAAATACAAAAGCCATGAAAACAACCTGGCAAGAGATGGAGCACCCCAGCTGGGATGTGGGGAGAAGGCAGGACTTGGGCACTGTCCCCCTTTTTGGCTCATCTCCACAGAGATGCCTGGGGAGAAGATGCAAATCCCAAGTTAGAAACGGATGCATCCACTTGGATAGAACATCCTGCCTGTCTGCTGCAGGGCCAAGGCTCAGCCCACACTGCCCAGGAGTCTCCCCCTGCCCCAGCCATCCCCACCAACCCCTCATCTGCTGCCTTTCCCAGCATTTTTTCCCTCCTCTGCACCTGTCTGTGGGGACAGGCACAGGTTGGGGTGTGGGAAATACACTCCCCATCCGCTGGCCCCGCTGGCTCTGGGTGTCACATCCTGGGTGACACTGCAGCCCTACACTGCTTCTTGCTGGCCTCATCCAGCAGCTGCCAGTATGTTGAGGGGTCTGGACAGCACAGGAGGGGTGTAGCCAAGAAGGAAAGCAGAATGGCTGGACTGAGTGCGTGCACCAAGTGGCATACATCCCCTGGGTGCAACTGGGGCCATGGCTGCACCTTGGCTCCTGCAAGCTTCCCTGCAGAAAGGGGAACAGTAGGGAAGCTCGTTCCCCTTCTTGGGGAAGTTTGAGTTGCAGTATCTGCTGCTGGTATTTCTGCAAAGTCAGTTGCAGCTGAAGAGTGGCCCAGCAGCCTTCTCTGTGCCCCACGGTGGGGCAGATAGGAAACGTGGGTGAAATTCTGTATGAGAAGAAAGGCCCAGGGGACATTCCTTTGCAAAGCCTCAAAGACATTCCGGAGAAAAGCTCAGCTCCTGGCCGCTGCCAAAATTCTTGCAGCTGCCCCACAGCATCCCCCAAGCCCCTGTAACAACAGAAGGTACACTGGTTTGTGGCAGGGCTGTGCAACCTTCCTCTGCCTGCCAGTGCCTGGGAGCTGCCTCCTCCTGCAGCCCAGGTCCCGCCTCTGCCCCCGAGTGCTGCCACAGGGAGGGATGGAAAAGCCATTCAGCATCCCTCTGAGCTGCTTCCCTGCTTGCATGGCTGTCCGCCTCCGGCACCGCAGGCTCCCAACCTGACCAAGGAGAAACCGGACCAAAACAAGCACTGTGGAGGCAGAGGGAAAGCAGCCAGCCCTTTTTTGCCTTTTTTTTTTTAAAGGGATATTGAAGACCAGAGCAGAGAGCCAGCACAGTGAAAAAAAGCCACGTGGGGACTGTGAAAATCAGAGCTGAGGAGAGGAAGATGGGAAAGGTCTAATAAAGAGAGTCACAATATACAAAATACACAAGCGCCCACCTCCGCCAGGAAAGCTGTGAGAAGGGATTGTGGTGTAATCCCTGGCTGCTTGAGCCTGCCCAGGCAGACACAGTCTGGATCTGCAACTGGATCAGGATTAGACCAGGAAAGCTTAGGTTTTTTGCCCTGTCAACCTGAAACAAAATGCTTTCCCCTTGCAGCATTTTTTTACTACATAGAGGAAATTAAGGGAGGTCAGTTGGCTGTAAGAGGATCCTCCAGCCTCAGGTAGCTCCTGACCACATCCACACACCATATGGAAAAGCATCTGCTCAGTCCCAGAAAAGTTCCCCAAGTCCCATCCATGCATTCAACAACCTCAGAGCAAAACAAGTGTGAGCTCTCTGCCCACACTTGGCCCCATCCTCAGCTCGGGGTCTGGGGCTGGAGAACAGCTGGGTGCACTCATTGCTGCCATGAAGGTTTCTCTTCTCCAACTGTACAAAGTTGTCCCAGATCTGTCTAGCAGTGAGTGGGGACAGAATGAATGACAGAGGTTATCTATTGAAGGGAACAAAGTCATTAATTACCCAGATAGGTTATGTTAAACTTGAGGGCTGTGTCCTCCCCACCAAGACACTGCTGGAGAAGCCCACTGTGACCTCCAAACTCAAAAAACACAATGCCAAGGAGCAACATCTCGCAGGTAGTCACACCCAGCCCAAGAGATCTGAAGTAGCTGCTCCCCAGTCAAATGAAGCTTGTATTTCCTTATCATTTGCTGTAAATACAGCTGTGCTGTTTTCCTGACCATGTTATTTCTAGAATCCTTATCACACGCTCTCAGATAGCCACAGCACAGTCACACACTTCACAATCTTCTTTTTCTCCTATTCCCAGCTTTCCCAAACCATGTCTGTTCACAATCCCATCTGTTCAGAAGCTCTTCCATGGCAATGGGTGACACCGCCCTGGACCTCCACATCCGCACGGAACAGGTCAGCAAATGAACTTGTCTTCCTTTTCCCCTTCTGTGCCATGCAGGGACCTGACTCCCAGCCAGGGATGAACTCAAATGTCACTTCTGATAAACATTTATTTTGCTGAGGAGCATGGTGTGTTTATAGGCAGCGAGAAGCAGCGGGCATGCGCCAAGTCTTGCGACATCCTGATGCTTCTGAATACCTTGGTCTCCCGCAAAAGTCATCTTGTCTGGTCCTTGGGGCGTTTTAAACACCAGGGGAAAAATGCATGGAGGAAAAGGACACCCAAGGCCTTGTGCTGGAAGAGAGACCACGCTGAAATGTGGTCAGGTGGCCTGCATTGCACCAGCCTGGAGACCAAAGGGAAACATCCTGGAGCAAAGGGTCTGAAAGGAGACAACAGCTGGCTAAAGGTGTCTTGGCTTCTGCACTGCTCCAAGGCAACCAAAACCTCACCTGCCTCAACATCAGCTTCAGACCATGGCTTCATTTCCTTAACAGATTAGCTGATGGGTGGGGGACAATTTCATATACAGTTTCTGTATCCACAGAATATTTGACAAAGACAAGCAAGTTGGACAGGTAAAAAGAAAGCCTCAATCCTTAGGAGACATTTATTATTATTATTATTATTATCGTCGTCGTTGTTGCTGTCCTCCTAAATCAAAGCTGTTACTCGGCAATACTATGAGCTTAATGGAATGAATGGGCACCTAAGATTTATGAGAAATCCAGCAGAGATTGCTGCCAAAGCTTCCCAAGGGATGTGGGTATCTGTAACCAAGTGTTATGATCTCGATGCTGAAATACCTGGGCATTTCATCTACGACACAAGTGGTGTAGGAGTGACATTCAGATGGCCTCAGAAAGGAACTAATATCTTTTTTCTCTGCTCTGCACTCAAGTTCAAAGTTTCCTTCTTCAAGCTGGCTCAGAAACACCAGGAGGACATTCACTCCTGTGGTTTTATGGCATTTATTTGTCAAGCCCAGGCAAGAACTTAAAAATGGAGGAGGGCTGTGATTTGTGTTCCCATTGAAGAGAAAATGTTGGTATTTAAAATCAGTCTAACTCAGTTTTGATCTGTTCTTTCGAGAAACGATACTTAGAAAACATTTTATTTGTACCATCTTTTAAATTTAAACCAAAACTGCTCCTGTTGTTTATTTCTGGGACTAAAAAGAAAGTCCAACAGTCCTGATCTGGACTACTCAAATCAGGCTTTTTCCAATGTTCTACAGGTCTGGATCCTAGATTTTAGTTTTTTTCCACCACAAACCTGTAGACCTTTAACTCTTGCTTTTACAGGCTGCTGTGCTGCAAATTCATTTTACTCTGGCAAGTGACTGTGTCTGTACAAGCCTAAATACAATGATTTTTGAGACCTTACCTACAGCAAAACAACTCCTTTGTAATTTTATCCACCCTTATCCCAACCGTTGGCCACATTTAAATACCCTTTGTTAAGCACACTGCCAGATACTGTCACACTGGACATGAAAGAGAGCCAAAGGGGAAACAACTGAAAATGGAAATGCTACTTTCATGTGCTCATCCAGACATAACCTTCCCTGCCACCTTCTTGGCAAAACAAGCTTCAGTCACCCAGTTTGCACATACAGATTCAAATTCTCCCAGAACTTCAGCTTTGGATGTGAGTGGTAGCTGGCACTTCTCTGTTTTTTTTCTAGTCAAATGCATCAAAAGACAATGAGAAAGGCTGAATGATTCATACTCATGGAATGAAATGCCATTCACAAACGTTTTTTCCATAGCAATTTGTCACTTATTGTATTGAAACCACTTCAGAAGATGTGTCTCAAAGAGCCTTTTGATATTAACATGATTAAAACCGTCATGCAATTAGGCAATCCCATAATATTTCTGTATGTTATATGAGTGGGACCTCAAGTGACCACTTCATTCAAGCCCCTCATAAATGGCTGCTTCTGGCAGAAAGCTGTTAATTCTGCAACATGCCTCAGATAGTTGTAGAACACCAAGGAATTCAAATCTTCTCACCCTAGAGGCATTTTGGCTCACCAAAATTCAGCTTTGGTGCTGGATCTAGCCTACATGTCCTAAATCTTCCAAAATCAGGCAAGAAAGATGCACTCCCCAAGAGCCTCTCTGCACAATTCAACACTGCTATCTAAAATCAGTGAGAACAGTGGCAGTCCAGATATGTCCTTCTCTTTTAGACATTCATCTGGATCTCTACCCCTTTTCCTGTTGCTCCTGTCAGATGTTGGCACCAGACTTGTTGCCCACATCTCCACATCAATTTCCTGCATTTGAGCAAACTGTTATGCAAGTACACGTAACTTTGCATTCACACAGGAGACTGCATTAAAAATCCTTCAATTAAATGCAAAAACAAAAAAGTTTTGGTCACTTTGCCCAGTGCCAGCTGTCCCAGACCCTTACCTGCTGGGCAGTTGCATCGCTGGTGTGTGTCCCGAACTTCTCGATGTCTTGGCAAGTGGAACTTTAACTTCTGCCATGAGAGGAAAAACAGAAAAAGGATTAGTTTATACCATTGAAACCAAAGCCTCAAATTCTCAAAAAAAATGGAACTGGGAGGGGATGCTGCCCAAGTAGAGATGGGAGAGACAGGGCAGAGCAGTTTGGGAATGAAGAAAGGCAATAAAGTTCATAGCCCTTAACTAGAAATGCGGGGTTTGATTGAAAGCAGGCTGAGGGAGTTTCGCAATGGCCTCCAAATGTGGTCCCCCTGACAGGCATTACAAAACCAAGAGCCAGCAGTGGCAAATAAATTGGTGATTGTGTCCTTGTGACAAAGCCACATTTCTCACAAGACCCACTCAGTGGGCAGAAAATGAAGATCTGAAGCAGGTCCTCTTCCACCCTGCAGCACATTCCTGATGATCCTGGAGACACCTGGATAACAGAAGGGTCCCGCTGCGAGACTGTGGCTGAAGATGAACTGAAAACATCAACAGCATCCTCTGAAATCTTCAGACTCTGTGAAAATTAATTTTTCCCCCAAGGGCAAAGCACAACAAACCTATCAGGAGCTTCCACAAGGTGGAATTTTGTCAGAATGTTGATTTCATATATGAGTTTGGATTTCTAATGGTGCCGGCATGCCAGTCTCCTGCTCTCTGGGCCCATCTGTGCATCTCCTGAAGAGCAAATAAAATCCACCTGAGGTCACTGCATCTTCCCTCACTGGGAACATGAACAAAATTAACCCATGTCCTGAGAAAAATGTGCTTCAGGGGTAGCATCCTCACCACCCTTCACAGACTTTATAAAATAGCTGTAATTAGTGAAGAAAATGCAAATCAATCCAAATAGGTTATTCATTAATGCCTGCAAACCACACTTGGTTAATGATTTGAGACCACTGAGCTGCTGGGGTTCCTAAGCTCTGGAATCACTCTCTCTTCCCTCCTAACTTCCCATCCCCATTGAGCCTTCCTATTTTTTGAACTACTTCACAAGTGGGTCAATATTTCAAAAGAAATAGCCTTACATAGGACACATCAGAAGCCTGTGCCCAAGATCATATAGAAATTGCTTTATTTTCACAAGTAATTGAGCATCTTCCTGCAAGAAGACATCAGTTTGGGGAAAAACTCTTTTAGAGAGGATAAAAGTAAATCAACTTGTTTCCGCCTGGGATGAAGGAAGGCAGAACTGGCTGGAGTATTTCCATTTTTCACTTTGAAGGGATTGGCTTCTTCACTACAAGTCAAAAGAGTAATGGTTGCTGTGACTGACTAGAAATTAAATATTTTCAGAGCTTTATTTTGCATGGTAGATTGAAATGTTTTGATAGCAGGTTTATTTGATAGCAGGGTGAGGAGAGGGTTTCAGGCAAGGAAAATTGCCAGTTCCCATAGAGCATTTCATTGGTGTTTACCTTCTCAGTTAAAAGCACAGATATTCTGTGAATTTCTGCATTTGGGCACGTTCCCATCCTGCTGCCAGCCCAGATGGCACAGCTCTGCTCTGGCTTCTGACTGCTAGTGGTCAAACATAACATAGGCACAAGCAGGAGAGCAGAGCCTTCATTTGGATACTCACCCTGCTATGTGGACACACACAGCCCCACTCCCATCCACACATGTGCCAACCAAAACATCTCCAACACCACACTGGCACATTTGGGTGGTGCTCCCATGCTTGGAATCGGGCTCAGACAAGGAAGGGATGGTGGTTTGCAATGGCAGGAGCAGAAAGCCATTTCCTAGCCAACAAGGGTCCAAACACCCTGCATGCAGCAGGGGCCTTTAGAGCACACAAATCTGCAAGGAAACATGGAACAGATCCCTGCCCCACCAAGGCCAGAGGCACTGGAGGGGCTGTAAGGGGGAATGGCTGAGTTAGGCTGTGCCTCAGAAGCCTTGGCCAGGTTGCTGTGGAGGCTTACAAAGAGAGGAGCAGCACAACTGGACAGGGAAGTGATGACCCAGCAGGACTGGGAACGGAACAGGGCTGATAACATTTCCCTGAGGCTTTATCTGCAGGGTCAAGGCAGTGGAAAGACCTGGGACAACTGAAATAGCCTTTCCAAGGACAGGGGCCCCTGGGGAGGGAGGTGCTGGTGCTGCTGGGCAGGCTGGAGCACAGCCCTGTG